GCCACTTTCTTTCTTTCTTTCCCTTTCTCTCTCTCTCTCTCTCTCTCTCTCTCTCTCTCTCTCTCTATCTCTCTGCCTCTGTCTGGACAAATTAAAAATAATAACAAGTGGAATTAATTAAATAAATTATTTTTTAAAACATATATGTTTCATATATGTGTGTGTGAGTGTGTGTGTGTGTGTGTGTATATATATATATATACACACACACACACAGATATGTATATTAATGAAATACTAGAGGCATTACCACTTGCACTAGAAATAAGGAAAGTACGCCCATTGTGGCCAGCAGGGGTGTAACAATAACACAATGCTCTGTGATCCTGGACCCACATGGGAAAGTCTGAGATTTGTATTTGGAGGCAGCTATTCAACTCTGCTACTGTAGTGTAAAAGCAGCCATTGATCATACAGAAGTGAATGGACATTGCTGTGTTCCAACAAAACTGTATAAAAACTGGCAGTGGGCTGGATTTGGCTGACTCCTAATTTATATCACAAAAAAAAAGAAAAGAAAAGAAAACAGCTAATGGGGAAAACTTTTAAAACAGCAAGAAAATACATAAAACCTAAAAATAATATCTCTAAAGGGCAATTTGAGTATATGCATCACAAATTGCGAGTACTCTTTTAACCTAATAATCTCAGTTCTGGGAATTTATACTAAGGACACATTTAGATAAGATAAAGATATGTACACAAGAATGTCTATAATTCATTATAAGAAACATTATCTTATAGACATAATCCATGTCTATTAGGAATGCACAGTTTTCTAAAACAGGCTACAGAGCAGTATGCATATCACCTCATTTAAAAATATATAGAGGTATGTATGTGAGAGGTCATGCGTACCTCACATGAAACAAAACCTGAAAAAATATTCAATATACCCAATTGTTTTTGCTCTACTTTATTTTTCCAAGTGAGCTTAGAAATACATTTTTTTTCTTTTTCTTTCTTTTTTTTTTAAAGAGGTTTTTGCTATAGGGCTCCTGTGCTCGCCAGAAAGACAGAGAGAGACAGAGAGACAGAAATCACTCCCCAGGGGGGATGGCCATGCCACAATCCCTTCTCCTCCATTCTCCTCCTGGGATCTTGGGCATGCACGCACATGTTCCCAGTATGAGTTTAAGCTACTGGGTCTGGGACTTGAACCATGGTCGACTACATGAGAGTCCAGTGACATAGCCATTACACGAACTGCTGGCCCCCAAATTTTTAATTTTAAAAAGAAAGCCAGCAAACAAAAAAACCTCTGTGTTGTGCTAACAATTAACTCTCATTTAAAGGAGCCCATGTATAGATAGTACCCTCCTCAAAGAAAGCATATCGATATTGATTTTAATCTTTACATAAAGACATCCCCAGAAAATTCTTTAAATTATTGTAACTGTTCCATGTCCTGAAGATAGAAGTTTTTTCATTATAACTAATGTAAAAGAAGTGACTATCTGGAAATCTTGTATTTTTCTTATCCTTCAGTGCTATTTTTGCATATATAATTGTGGGTGTGTGTGCATACACATCTGTCTATCAGGGACAAAATACCAGGGAAGGGGAATAGGGAAAAAAAGGTAAGAATTATAAAGGGCTAACATGAATTAACAGCCCACAGGGAAATAATTACTAATAAACTCATTACTCGAGGCCTTATTTAGGTTCTACAGTACAGGAATCTCTTCTGTTGGGTTAGGCAAAAACCCTTGACAGTCTCATAAATTCTTATTCATAAAATTTTACCAAGACTGAGTAAGTTTGGGTTTCCTCATATAAGCCTATATTATTGACATCTAGTTGTGAAATTTTGCACATTTTTCCTAAAAAATACAAACACATATCCAATTACTTTGCCAATAGTTTTACTCCTTATAAGGTATATATAAATTGACACATATCTATTTTTCACACACATCAGATCTTGGTGAAATAAAGGAAAATGGCAATTCTTACAGTTTTTCAGAAATTCTTTGTGGGTGTTACAGAATATAAGTTACATGGCATAACTCACAGTAGCAAAAAGAGGGGAAGACATACTAATTTTGCCTTCTCAAAACAATGAACGTATCTCGCTTTAAAATCATCCTACTTCCCTCCTAAAGTGCCTTTCTCCAATAACTCAGCATAAAAGTGAGATCCAGTATAAATAGAATATCCTCCCGGAGTAGACATTTCCAAGATTGGGGGTAGGGTGTATGTACGCACATGTGAGTACGTGTGTGTGAGCCTGTCATTGCTGAAGAAGCCACGAGAGAAAAGAAAGTCTCTCTAGAGCCAACTTAGAAGTAATAGGAACAACATGACAACCACAGGTCATCCAGAGTTCTCAAAAGTGAAGTCAAAAGACAATGAAGTGTTAAGTACATTGTGTAAGCCTGTAAATCCAGAACACAATGAGCAAGAGATGAAATTCACTCTGAACACAACAAACAAACAAGTATATCAACATAGCGTCATTTTCATTATCTATTCCTTTACTCCTGACCTCAGTCAAAAGATATTTAAATCTCAACAGTAAAATTCACTACTACTGAACACAAATATAACAACTAACATTTAGGCTTGTGTTGAGAGCTGGGAGGCTAGAATTCCACAGGCTTTCCTTTCAGTCTTACATTTTTAAAAAAAATCTTGAAAATAAATATAGTATAGTTAAAAAATAAAGTCATGCTTCAAATCATGAACATTTTTCTTGTCAAATATTGCTCTCTGTAAAGTACATCAGCAAACCCCAGTAGAAGCTTACCCTTCAACTTGAGGTCAACATTATGTCTCAGCCAAGGATAAACTCCATAGCTTGGCATATCTTCAGGAATTGGATTACTGTTTATCCAGCCATCGCAAGCGAACCGGAAGAAATTATCACAAGGATCCACAGACAGGTTTACTTTACTCAAGATGGCAGCGGCTATTTAAAAAGAAAATCATAGGATTAATGGCAAGCACTGAACGTTGTGTACTGTTCTTTTCCAAATTAAACAACGATTTCATATCAACCAGTTCTCAAGCCTTGGCTCTTATATTTCTCCTCAAATGACTTTCTGAATCAACTTCACTATAAGAAATGACTACATGCAGACTGAGTTAGTAAACGCTGGATGGTATTACAGTTACTGTTTTTTGCAGGGCCATCTCTAATGTCTGTTGGGCATGAGACAAGAATACATATGAACATGCGGTCGACTGCTTGCAAAGATCCGTGTGACTTCCATTCAGCTTGTCCTTATGCATAGTGACTTTGCTGCTCTTCCCACCAAGCAACAGGGACTATTTCTCTTGACTTGAATCTAGGCCAGCCTTATCATTTGCTTTCACCAATGAAATTGGGAGAAGTGACTATTTGTGCACTTTTCAAAGCAAGACCTTAAGCATCCTTACACCTTCCCTGTTAACTTCCTTTTAATGGAACTCTGAGGAGACCCTGTGAAGAAATACCCTAGAGAAAGAGAAGCCACATGGAGTAAAACCAAATGAGCGCCAACTGCCAGACATGACTGAGGCCATTACAGACTCACCAGCCCAGGAAAGCCTCCAGCTGAATACAGTTGTAGTATCAGCAGAGAAACTGTCCATTAAACCTACAGCACCATGAAAACCAGTCAATCACCCTTGTTTCAGGCCTCTAAGGTTTGGGTATGTTTCAAAGCAAGGCTAACTGAAACAGACACCTACATGTCATCTATTTAAATATTTTTAAAATATATTTCTAGTATGCCTCCATAAAGATCTGGAAGGCCAGGTATGAATTCTTGAGCCCCTTGACATCCAGTGTAGCTCAGAGGAATTCAACTCTAAAAGAGCATGCAGGCCCTCAAGGAGAAATAGGGCCACCTGACAGGGAATTCTAGACTGACAGACTCCTTAACTGGGGAGAGGCATGGCAAGAGGAAGGCCAAAGTGGGGTGTTCTAAATGAGGGGGTCTGGGTGTGGAGGCAGAACTTTTTCTGTAAGTTAACAGAAAGACGTGATAGACTGAACTAGCATTTTTTTCCTTTTTATAAATCCATACATGATTATTTATGGAAAATAATCCACATATAGGAAATTCATACATAAATATGTATCCATGAGCTTTAAAAGAAAGTATTTCATTACATATTGAACTCCAACTCTCTTCCAACTGCCATACAATTGCTGGCTACCATTCTAGCACAAAGATATGTACAATTTTTTTTTTTTTTTTTTTTTTTTTTTTTGGAGAGGTTTTTGCTACAGGGCGCATGCGCTTGCCAGAGAGAGAGAGACAAAGAGACAGAAAGCAAGCCATGCCACAATCCCTTCTCCTCCATTCTCCTCTCAGGATCTTGGCCACACACGCACACAGGCACACACGCCCGGCGTGAGTTTTAAGCCACCGGGTCCAGGACGCGAACCGCGGTCGACTACATGGGAGTCCAGCAACATAGACGCTATGCTAACTGCTGGTCCCTATACCATTTTTTTAAGGTGGCCAACATTTTAATAACATTGAAGAGATGACAGTCTGAGCATTTTCACACTTTAATTAATGCCACAATGCATTTCTGTTTTAAGTAATGAGAACTCAATGAGATTTAAGCTAAATATGAATGAATTGCCCCCCCCAAAAAAACAATCTGCATAAATTTAGATGCACATCTTACAATATGGCTATGTGTATGGTTCTTCCATGATGCTAGGGGCTAGCAAGTGGTGTGGCAGTTAAGACGCTGGATTCCACATAGCCAGCTTTGTAGATTGAGTCCTGGACATGGCAGTTTGTTAATCAATCCAGGCTTATGCGTGTGTGTGGCCAAAATCCTGAGAGGAGAGTGGAAGAGAAGGGACTGTGGCATGGCCATTCCTCTGAGGGGATAATTTCTTACTCTTCCTCTCTCTCTCTTCCTCCCTCTCTCTCTCTCTCTCTCTCTCTCTCTTTCTCTCTCTCTGGTGAGTGCATGCTTCCTATAGCAAAAATAATAAGAGTAGGTATTTCTCTTGCCTAGACTTTCTATGAAAATTCAAATGGCTTTTCATTCTTAATGAAATGGGTAATACACAAACATCCTAACTTCTACAGGACTTTAAAATCTCCATTTTCAAAAGTCCCTCCCAAAAAAAACTAGCAGAAAATTGTTTAAAAGTTTTAGTTTAGTTTAAAAGATAAAAAACTGCACACTGGCTTCATCTTTTTTGGTTTTTGGAACTAATTTAGTTGTCTGTAATCACAATTTTACTTCCTACCTTGTCATTAATATCATTTAGCTATTTTATCATTAATATGCAAATATGCTAGGACAAACAAAATCTTCCTGTCAGCTTGTATTTATACTTACTCTGTGCAGCCACAGAATGAATCCGCTATGTGACACCTCAGGGACTCGGCTCACACAAGTCTCAGTCCCACTCAATATTTACAGTCACACAGGGGAGTCCTCACATGCATTTTTACTCACATAAGCGCATTGTGTTCTGGCCTCCTTCCCAAACTTTCCCTGCCGCCCCCTCCCCCAACCCTCAAATGTATCTCTCCGTCTTCTCAGTATTCTTGCAGGTACCTAGAAAAATTGCAAGATCAGCTCTGACCTCAGCCCTGATACAAAAGTGGGGGAATATATCACTCATACTGAATTTGGAAACGAGCCCGCCGAGTGAGAAAACTCTAGCTTTCACCTCCCAATTCATCATTCACGATTCACAGCTGGGCACAGGGCTGCACTTTCTGCAGAGGGACTGTGACTCCAAATTGCAAGGGACCATAGTTGTCAAGACACCAAAACTCCTTTCCCCCTACTCAGCTCCATGGAGAAAACCCAGAGTCTTGTTTTAATAAAAGAAATATGATGATGAGAGAAACCTGTGGAAGCTAAGGCTACATGCTCTCTCAAGTCACTGCATATAAGGTTCATTGTTAGGCAGCGTCCAGCCAGCATTTATGTGGTAGACGTGGAGACACTCCCACTGTACCAAACACCATCCTGAGTTAGGTTTAATCAGGGTTTAAGGGAGAGAGTAATAATAGTTTTTTTGTTTGTCTTTTTGTTTTGTTTTTTTTTTTGCTATAGGGAATGTGTACTCGCCAGACATTACGAGAGACACAGAAAGCGAGACAGCCCCCCCCAGGGGGCACAGCCACACCGCAATCCCTTCTCCTCCATTTTCTTCTCAGGATCTTGGGCGCATGCATACACGCACCTGGCGTGAGCTTAAGCCATCGCGTCCGGGACTTGAATTTTGGTTGACTACATGGGAGTCCAGTGACATAGCCATTACACCAAATGCTGGTCCCAGTAATGTTTTTCTGTTTGTTTTTGTTTGCCCATCCCCCCCTGGGGGTGCTTTCTCACTCCACCTGCCCCTCCCCAGTCTCTCTTCAAGTGAACATGTTGTATAGCAAATTTAAATTAAAAAGAATTCTTACGCACGCACACGCGCCCGGCGTGAGTTTTAAGCCACCGGGTCCAGGACGCGAACCGCGGTCGACTACGTGGGAGTCCAGCGACATAGCCATTACGCTAACTGCTGGTCCCTGTGTTTTTTTGTTTGTTTGTTTTTTGTGTGTTTTTTAGAGAGATTTTTGCTATAGAGCACCTGCACTTGACCGAAAGCGAGAAATCACCCCCCAGGGTGATGGACATGCTGCAATCCCTTCTCCATTCTCCTCTCGGGATTTTAGGCACACATGCATATGTGTCTGAGCTGCCAGGCCTCGAACTCGAACTATGGCTGATTATGTGGGAGTCTAGCAACATAACCATTATGCCATTTACTGGTCCCAATAATAGTAATTTTTTAAAACCACTAACATTGAGCATTTCCTCTGTGCCAGGAATTATGCTAAGGCCTTTTCAAGCAAAAGAGCAGCCTTTCAAACTACTGCCAAACTACTTGGGTATTTTTCTTTTTTTTTTTTAATGAATTATTTTATTTAACTTTACTTATTTATTTTTTTAATTTGACCAGAGAGAGACAGAGTGAGAGAGAGAGGAAAAGTGAGAAAGCAAGCCACCAGGTCTGGGACTCAAACCATGGTCTGGCCATAGGGGAATCCAGTGCCCTTAACCACCACACCACCTCTGGGCCCCATCTTGGGCTTTAATTACAGCATCACCACATGACAGTTATGTAAGTTTGGGCAGGTTACTTAAACTCCAGACATTGCAGAGGTATTATATAATCTGTGTAAAAATACACTGTATTTTTCTTCCAGAAATCTAAAACTCTATGAGCTCAGAAACATTTAGCCTCAGAGTTTCGGATAAGTGTTTATGGGATTATAACAGCTAATGTTTATGTGTTTGGGTACCAGATTTAGCTACATACATGCAGGTAAGATGCTCAGTTAAATTCATATTGCAGATACACAATGACTTCTTGTTCTTTTTAGATTTCTTTTGTCATAGGGCATGTGTGCTTGCCAGAGAAAGACAGAGAGACAAAAAGCGAGAAATAACCCCCCGGGGGGATGGCCATGCTGCAATCCCTTCTCCTCCATTCTCCTCTCAGGATCTTGGGCACGCACACACAAGCCCCCAGCGTGAATTTAAGCTGCCGAGTCTGGGACTCAAACCGCGGTCGACTACATGGGAGTCCAACGGCATAGCCATTACGCCAGCTGCTGGTCCCTAGAGTGGCAACTTAAGCAAGCACATTAATACTTCTATAAAGAAACATATGTATATTCTCCTAAGTAAAATAAATAAAATCTAAAACAGCCTCACATGAATTCAGATCCGGTTTTGCCATCAAAAGAACTTAAGTCAGGTCCAGCCTTGCCAACTCAGAGTTACAAAGCTTTCTGGGTTTGGGGTTAAGGATCAAGCATTGTGGGCCTGGATTACTACCATTATTACTTTCTTTTATTTTGATAACTAGTATGATGAGTAAAAAACCATTTTCCTCATCCTATAGATAGTGAAACTGAGGCTTCCTAAGATGGTTACATATTACGCTCAGGATCATGCGGTTTGTAAGCGGCCAGACTGCTT